TCTTATACTTCCAGTTTTGAAGAAGGTACACAGAAGAAAATCTCCATACCCTAGAATTTCATGTAAGGGAACTCATGATTAAGAAGGTAATTTTATCACAAGTATCAGAAACCTACTTGAGCTGACTTGGGCAAAAACGGAGTGTGTGTGTGTGTGTGTGTGTGCGCGCGCTTATATTACAACAGCAAAAGAGCTTCTCACAGACCCAAAACAGAACAACCAGCCAGGCTCAGTGGGTGGATGCAGCACCCTCACAGTCACCTCTCTGGAACTGCATAGCCTCCTCCCCAGGCTTCTCCGATAGATCCGCTTCATCCCCCTCTATCTCTGCAGGCTTTTCTGCCTCTCTGTGCCCTCAGCTTCCTGTTTACATGTTCTCCCTTCCAGAAACCATCAGGAAAGACCCAGCTATCTCAGAAACCTAATTCGAAATTTCCAGACTTCAGTGAGGTGTCCAATTAATGTTCCTGGTCCAATTATCTGTGGCCAAGGGGCACAGGTCATGCATTCCACAAACATGGCTGCCAGAAGGTCATCCATTTGGGAGGGGGGTTTGGCCTGGGCTGACTCCCCAAAGCTACCTATGACAGGAGGGGTTTCCATAAACACTACAAGTGGGCAGATTCTCTCTTCTTCCTCTCTCAACAAGCACATGTGGAGTTTATGGAAAGCTTTCTATAAAAAGATCTTTACTGTCTCAAGACCAACTTCACACAATCGCAAGCATGGCTTTGGAACCCTCAGGTTCATCTCCCACTCCCCAATACTCAGTGGCCTTGAGCTACCCAAAGACTCCACCCAGCTCCGCCCCCAGTTCCATTTCCTTGTCCTTGGCTCTTTTCTTGCTGAGCCTAATCCCAGCTGATACACTCGTGAGTGTTAATCAGTAAAATTCATCCACCCAGCCAATATTTATTGAGTGCCTATGCTGTGTGAGCCCCTTTGTCAGGGGCCAGCAGCATAACGTGAGCAAGACAGACCCTGACCTCTCCAAGTTTGTTGTCCAGCAATTCGTGTGGAGCCTGAGAAAGGAAGCCTCTGAAGGGACCGGCCCAGCGCCGAAGATCCCAGGACCAAGTCCTCATGCTGATTTCCTGATGGTCCTAAATGCTTCCTGGGTCTTCATTAAGAGTTGAAAGCTTGCTGGTTCACAGTCTGCTAGGTCATTTTGTGCTTTGCTCATCTGATGACTGGACAGTCCCCACCCAGTAGAAGCCTGATTCTGGTTGCTTCTTTCAGTGTGCTTCCTGAAGCATGTTCCCACCGAGCTTGTGTTTTTCCCAGCAACTAACTGCTGATTGAGTCCATTCCTACAGTTGGTCATCTTGTGGTGTGCTGAACCTTCCCTGGGCAGGAGAGAGGAACAGAGAGACAAGAGGGGCCTCTGGGTGGGTGGGGAGGGGAGCAGCACGTGGATGGAAGCTAAAAAAGATAGAACCCTTGGAATGTTTAGAAGGGCCAGGCTGGTGACTGATAATAAAGGAGGATGGTGTCCTCTGTTGGCAACAACAAAAAGAATGATATCATTTTATTGGGTGCCAAACACTGCTCCAAGCACATCATATATATCATCTCAATGGCCACCATAATCCAGTGAGGTAGGTGTGAAAGTTCCCAATTTATAGATGGGGAAACTAAGGCTCAGAGAGCTTAATGCCTTGCCAAGATCCTACTGCTAGTAATTAACAGAGTCGGGAGTTGAACCCAGGTCTAGGATCTTGAAAGCCCCACACGAATAGAGAGAACCCTCTGGCATCCTTGGTGATCTCTCTTTGGATGTTTCTCTGGGTGTTGAGGTCATCCACAGCCCCTGACTCAGTGTGGCATCCAGGCACTCAGGAGGAGCTGGGCTGACTTCGGCCACAGTGCAGTGTGAGCTGTACAGCCTGGGACCCTCAGAGGGTCCCATTCTCCTCATTGTCCTGACTGCTTAGAAGCCCACCAAGGCAGGAAATCCCTCATGGTGGCATTTGCTTAGATTCCACACATAAGCCGCTGACCCTCTGCTGCTGTTTTCTCAGCTTTCAAGCAACCACATTTGATCCTTGAGCCTCAGGTATGAAAACGTGGCAAGTGGAGCCCACCAACAGGGCAGTGTGGGTGGAGTTTGTCAGTGGACTGCGCTGTTCTCCAGCCTCCCCTAACCTAGGGCCTACTGGAGCCATCTGTGGTGTACACTGGGTCTCAGGTTTCTCATCCGGGAAATGAAGGGTTTGGGCTGGACAATCACTAAGCTCCCAGCTCTAAGCCTGAGTGAATTCAAGGTTCAGAGCTCCTTGGAGTAGTAGCCGCTCAGTGACCTCTAATCAACCTTGGCACATTCTGAGTACTCAGTAAGCACTTGTTGAACTGAACCCAGCAGATTAGGAGTTTCTCGGCAGAGCAAACAATTCCCCTGAAGTGACCAGTTTCCACTGTCCATTGGCTCTCAGAAGACACCCACTGAGTGCTGATGTTTGGGACTTTGTCTTAGAAGTAGATGAAGAGGGAGGGAATCAGGAGTTTGGGTTTAAAGTTGGGGAAGGAGAGAAACCAGTCCCATGGAACATTATTGACCCAGTGTGGTTGCTGTGAAATGTGACACCCCACAACAACCCTCCCCCAACAACTCCACCTCCACTCTGGGCTGCCTGCATGGCTGAGAGACCCACCCTCCAGGCCACTCCAGCCAGCTCACCTGTGGGCCAGAGCTCATAAAAAGGCCCTGGGGAGTCTTCAGGCAAATCCTACCTCTGCCTTTATAAAGGGGCCTGAGGAGAGGTGCCTGGGGACTCTCCTAGAGCCACCCCCAGGTACCTTGGACTAATTGGAGAGGGGGCAAAGGGGTAGTTCTGCCAGTTCCCTCACAGGCCTGCAGCTGCCACTGCCCCTGCTGCTGTGGAGACTTGGCTGCCTGCTGGAGGTTTTGCTGCAGCCACTGAGCCCTTCTCTCTCCAGTGCACCTGAGTCTCTCTTTCTCTTCTCTCTCTCCCCGCCCCCTTACACACACACACACACACACACACACACACACACACACACACAATTCTCTCACACTCATAGTATCTTTAATTCACCCTCAATATAGTTTTTCTCTCTCACATGCAGTCTCTCTCACAGTTACTACATCTCTTTTCTCTCTCACATATAGCCCTCTCTCCCCACCTCCCCAGTCATTCATACATTTCCTTCTCTCTCTCTCTCTGTCTCTCTCTCTCTGTCTCTCTCTCTCTGTCTCTCTCTCTCTCTCTCTTTCTCTCCCTCTCTCCGCGGCCCACCCCCCCTTTCTCCTTACCCCACGCCTCTCCCGGTGCTTAACTGGAAACAAAAGTGTGTGTGTTGTGCCCAGCTAGGAAGAGGACGTGTGGGGACAGTGGCTAGAGTGGCGGCAGCAGAAACAGGCTGGGGCCAGAAGCAGTGCCGAGAGCCGGAGACCCCAGCACTCAGCTATTCCAGGGAGCAGGTAATGCCCCAGACAAGGCTGGTTCAGGGATTCTGCTCTCTGCCCTGTCTTACTTCTCCATGACTGTTCTATTTATTTGCCTTCTTATCTGGTCTTGAAGGTTGGGAGGGTAGGGGGGATCCCAAACTTAGGGAATGGTAGGCACAATGTCAAAGGAGTGATGGGCCCTCTGCTTCAGAGAGCAATGTGTGGTCTGATGTGGCTGGGGTGCAGGGCATGTGGGGTCAAGGATGGCTGGGGTCTAGGGTATCTGGGGCCAAGGGTGGCTAACATCCTAGGTGTCTGGGGTCAAGGATGGCTGAGGCCCGGGGTATCTGGAATCAAGTGTGGTTGGGGTCTAGGGCATCTGGGATCCAGGTGTCTGGATTCAAGGATGGTTGGGACCTGGGGTGTTTGGTGTCAATGAATGTTGGGGTCAAGGGTGCCTGGGGTCCAGGGCATCTGCTTGAGGGATGTTATAGAACCTAGAAAGGCAAGTTAGGGCCAGGTCAGAAGAGATGTTTTGAGTCATGTCATAGACCTCAGGGTTCAGGTAATCGAGAACCATTGAAGGTTTTTCACCTGGAGAGTAACATGATCAAATCTACATTTTAGAAAAGTAGTTCTTGAACTCTGATCACACAGAGAATTAGTGTGTCCTCTCAGGATCAAACAGTCAGTCTTTTCCCAATTTAAAGAAAAAGTAAGGTTATTTGTTCAACTGTTAGCTTTTCTTCTACAAAATTTCCTTAAATCTCTGATATCTGCTAGCAAGTGTCAGCAATTAATAAGCCAACGAAAAAAGATGTAAGTTTAAAGTAATAGAAAAATTCCGAAATAAACTCCATTTAAATAAATGAGGCCCACTGAGCTATATACAGATAAATGAATAGTATTTTCTGCTAGTAAACTTATTTTTAACTCATATGCACAATATTTATGGTGCTGCCCAAAGAAAACTGACTCCCAAGAGTCTGCCACGTGAACATGTTTGAAATGTTATAAAAGCAAACTCTGCTGAAACCTAGGGAGTGAGGATGGAAAGGGCAACCAGAGGCAGTGGGAGCAATCGGTGGCTACTGCAGTGATAGGAACAGGAGATAATGAGAAACAGAACCAAGATGGTGGCAATAGACGGAGAAAAAAGAAGAGAGCTAAAAAATATATTTAAGAAGCAAAGGAAAGAAGTCAGTGTCTGAGTGGACATGGATGGTGAAGGAGGAGGCTTCTGGAGTGAGTCCAACTTTTTTTTTTTTTTTTTTTAAGGATTTTTACTGGGGAATTGGGGGGATGGGAACAGTGCTGGGGAATTGGGGGAAGGGGAACAGACAAGTTGTTGTAGTTTTGTTCTTTAGTTTAGTTGGGAGTGAGTCCAACATTTCTTGTCTAGGTGGCTCGGTAGCTAGGGGTGCTATTAATCAAAACAGAGGAGGGCAGGGTTGGGGGGCTGGAAGAAGGGTTGCAGATCTGTTTTGAATATGCTGAGGTTGATTCAAGAAGGCTGCAGAACTCCCAGGTCGAGCAGACCTGCTGGCAGCTTGAAATGCTCAATACAGGAAGGACCTGGAGAAATGGGTGACCTGGGGAAGATTAAGATTTAACTGACATGGCAGGAGGGCCAGACAAGGATATTGAGAAGGAGTCTTCAAAGAGATAGGAAAAAATACCCAGAAAGCGTTGTGTTATGAGAGCCAAGAACAGCATTTCAGTTCAGAGGGAGCAGACAGCAACACAGATGACCCAAAAAGATAACCAGATGGCAGCTTTACAATATTGTTGGTTTGGTTGATTCTATTAACTTACTGCTTTGAGAATAAGATAACAAGAGATCTGAGCATAGGGCTGTAAACTAAAGTGCATAGTGTAGGGCTGGCTGAGTGGCGTGTTGGTTAGGAGTTGGCTCTGAGCAGCAGGACCCCGGTTTGGATCCCACATGAGGACCAGTGACGCTGCACCCTCTACAGCTAAGTTGGTGAACAACAGCTCAACCTGGAGCTGGGCTGCCATGAGTTGCCGGCGACGGCGTAGGCTGCAGTGGGGCTGGCCAGCAGCGGGTGTGAGCTTTCATGAGCCGCTGTGAGAGGCTGTCCAATGGCCAGCGAGCAACTGCCTCACCCGGAAAGAGCGCATTGATAACACCAACATGGGCCAGTGAAGCGACGTCCTCCACAACTAGACCGAAGAACAAAAGGACAGCAACTTTTCCGTTCCCCTTTCCCGATTCCCCAATAAAATCTTAAAAAAAAGAAAAAGTGCATAGTGTAAATGAGATTAGCAGGGCATAGTGGGGGCTGTGGTAAACTAAAATGCATATGCCCAAGTAAAGAAGGCAGCCATCACTCAGCTCTAATTGATGGTTGCCAAGCAGGACTGTTGGCACGATCATCAGAGCATCTAAATTTTCAAGAAAAGTCAGAAATTTGGATTTTTATGTGAGACCTCACAATTCTTTATGCTAGCAACAATTTCAAAAATGTTTATACTCTATGAGGGCTGAATGAAACACATCTTCAAGCTGCCAGTTTGAAATCCCTGCCTTAGTCAACATCCTTTGTGTGGGGGGACTGAACTTGGTGCAGCAGGTCGGAGAGTGACTGGGTAAGGAGGAAGTGGAGACAGCAAGTGTAGACCACTCCTTCAAGAAGTTGAGGGGAAAGGAAGGAAAAAGGAGAGCAGGAGCGTTTGGAAGGCAGGCAGGATCAGGGGAGAGTGTTTTAGGGTAGGAAGAGCTGTTCATAGACCAGAGAAAGAGGTCAGAGAAAGAGAAGATGAAGACCTAGGTAAGGAAAGGCTAGTTGATGAAATAAGGATCCAGCAGAAGGGAATGGATGGGGTCAGAGATGAAGCTGGAGGTAGGATTCCTTTGTTCAAAGATGGAATGCAACAGTAGTAAGGAATAGAAGGACTAGAAGGAAGGAAGTGGATGGATTTCATGCCTGGAGGCCTGTATTTTCTTGGTGAAGTGGGGTAGGAGATGGTTCAAGAGGCTTGAAGAGAGCAGCAAAGGTTAGGAATGGCACTGAGAGACATGGGAAAGGGTGCAGACAAGGATGAGTGGAAGGTGGCTACACTTCTGAAACCTACTAGAGTGGAAACACTCTATTTGCACAGCTGAGTGGTTTTCTTCAGCAGGGCTGGTGGTGAAGGAGATTAGCACCTGTTATATTCCAGGTCCTGTGTCACATGTCTTATTCTCCTTATCTGGTTTATTCCTCCCAATAACCCTGTTCACTCAGGCTTCACTCATGTGTAAGTGGCAATTTTGAGATTCATACCTATAGCTAGCTAGATTGAAAACACCCCACCTCCACTGTATCACCGTACCCCACTGTCACTCCCTGTACCCCCAAGACACACCTGCAGAGGTGAAGACTGGGCCAGTGAATTCTTGTTTGGGCACTGGCTGGCTGGTTTTATTGGGAAAGTCAAGGAGTATGAGTGGAAGCTGTGATGAAAGAGGAGTTGAAATTATTGACCATTGGGAGTCCATGAAGAAATAAACGAGGGCCAAAGTGGATGATAAACTGAGGGGATGGAAGAGATTTGGAGGAAGGGAAGACTTGGTGAAGCCCAGGAGACAGTGAGAGATTGCACCAGGACAGGGACAATGGGATCGGTGAGGAGGGAATGTATTCTGGAAAGCTTTCAATATGAGGGTGGAGTTGAGATGAGGATGACTCCAGATTGTCTAGCCTGTGCAGCTGGGTGGACAGTTATGTCTTTTTTTTTTTTTNCACATAGCCCAAGTAAGGACTCCCACTATACAGGAAGAGGATTGTGCATAATGTGGGGGGACCTGGGTGGGCAGGGGTGGCTAGATGTGGCAGGGCCTAAGCCTAAGGCAGGCTGTGCAGATGAAGGATTGATAGGAGACCCCTGTCAAGGACACAGGAGACCCCTGTCAAGGATTGAAGGAGACTTCAGTTCCTGCCTCAACAGAATAAGAGCCAGGATCCAGAAAGACAATGTATGTGAAGGAGCTTTGTGCCTGTGAAATGGTAGTTCATTATAATTTTGTTAATTAAATGTATAGTATTAATAAAAGGGAGCTATTACTATCCCCATCTTCAGATTGGGAAATTAAGGTTCAAAGAGATATAGTGTGATGCAGCTGTAATTAGTGAAACATGATTTGAAAACAGATCTGTTGATTCCAAAGCCTGTGCATGCCCTTCCCACCATACTGCTGTCCTTTGTAAGACATCATTAGTCAGTCACCATATTCAACACAGGCTGAGAATTACATCCTTGCAAGCAGCCAAATTGCCTTATAATGAAAGGGATAGGTAGGCAAGGAAAAATGTGTCATAGAAGTTGGTTTGCTTATTTTCCCTCTCTCCTTACCACCCCTCTCCCCAATGTGAATATACTTTTAGGAAGTCACTACTTAGCAGCCAATCAATTTCAACTCAAGCAGAACATATATGAGGAATATAGTCATCAAGCTATGGTGAGAATCAGTAAGAACCATGCTTCCTACCCTGAAAAGAGTGCATTTTCTGGCTCTGAAAACCTCTGGAGAGGCCATTAGAAGCAGGTTTAGAAACACGGNATGTTATCTAATTTAGCTCCCTGGTTATTTTATTTTATTTTTTTGAGAACACTTATCAGTACCTGAAATAATTGTTGATGGATTTGTTTGCTTGTTTACTGTCTGTCTCTGCCACTAGAACAGATGTTTAAGAGAGCAAGGACATATGGGTCTTCTTCATAGCTTTGTTTTCTAGCACCTTGCACATGGCAGACATTCATTAAATATTGTGAGAAAGGAAGAAGGAAGGAAAAAAGGAAGGAAGGAAGGGAGAAAGAAACAGGAGAAGCGTGTTGAGGGGGGAGAGTACATGTTCAGTGTTGGAATGCTAACTTTTGAGATACCTGAGACACACCCACGAGGCAATGTCCAGTGGGCAGTTGGAAAGCAGACTAGGAGCTCAGGAACAGGCTGTCATCATGCCTATAAAGAAGGCGGGCCCACGTGTCACACTGCTGAGAGTATGCCCTTTCACACGGTTGACTGTCCCTTCAAGGCCAATGTTGGAAATTGACTGGTTTGGGGCCCAATGGGAAAGGGATTCCTCTGGGTTTGTTATGCTGAAGTTGGGTCAGAGTTTTTCTCACTTCACTTTTCTATTTTCTTTTCTATTTTATTTCCCATCCTTGCTGCTGCCCTGGTGTTGGCTATTTTCCATCCTTCTTCATTGTCAGCTTTGAGTTTGAATGCAGACTAAATTCTTTCATCTCTGTTATCTCAAAGAATAGCTCACCCACATCCAACGCACAGAGACTTGAATCCAGTTTTTCCAAGAAGCTGGATTTAGTTTTACTGAATTAGGAAATACTTTTTTCTTGCAGTTGGTTCCATTTCAATTGGCCTTGCAGCCCTCTACCCCTGACAGGGCACTCAGCGTACCATACTATCATCCTTTTGCAGGGTCTCCAGCTGCTGAGCAGCTCCAGGACATCCTGGGGGAGGAAGATGAGGCTCCCAACCCCACCCTCTTCACAGAGATGGACACTCTACAGCACGACGGAGACCAGATGGAATGGAAGGAGTCGGCCAGGTGAGCAGAATCCCAGGTGGGAGGTAGAGAGGTCTTCCCACTGTGATCTGCTCAGGACCCAAGCTGAGCTGGCCCTCCTGGTGGGAAGACCACTAACCAACGACACCTTACCTTCTGAGTTCTGCCAGGGAACTTTCTGGACCCCAAAGAGCTTCCCATCTGCCTTCCTTGGTATCCAGAACTGGGTTACCAAGGAGCAAATACAAACTTAGGACTTTGTCTTTACCCTCAAGGAAATTAAAATCCAAATTGGAAGATAGAACAGACACCCATGAGGCTATGAGAGACTAATACAAGGCCTACATTCTTTCATGTCAAATGGTTTAAAGTAAATGCTGTATTAGAAAGGGAAGCACCAAGCCAGCTGGGGTACAGTCCAGTGCGCCCCTGAAGAAGAGGGCCTTGGTGGAGTTTGGAACAAGATGAGCAGGTGGGCGTGGGGTGGAGCAAGTTGTGTCTATGGGGCAGTAGAAGGTAGATGAGAGAGAAGGCTGGAGGGGAACTGGGGTTGAAGTCGTGGGAGCCAAGAGAGGATCAGGGTAAGAAGTAGTGCTGGTGATACCCCAGTGCCTGGGACAGAGTGACCTCTGAACTGAACTGGACTGGTCAGCAGTGCTAAATGCTACCAAGAGCCCAAGGAGGAGGAGGAAGGACCTGGTAGAAGGGGCTGGTGAGAGGAAGAGAAAGAACCCTGGGAAGGAAGTTGAGAGACTCTGCAAGACAGATCATACTAATGTTTCTCAGCCTTTTTTGTATGAGCATCCACTACCCTGAGAAAATTTTAGTTTAAGCTAACTTTATTAAATTAGAATTTATTTCTAATGAGAGAAATGAAATATTTCTGAGAAATAAGACCTTGTTAAGTAGGACTGAGCTTTGAAGTGCCACAAACCATTGTAATATCTAAAGCTTTTTTGCTCCCCCAAGAACCAATTTTCACCCCATTGGGGCTGTTATTGCCCCAGTTGAGAGTGCGGGGACCAGCTGTGCCCAGGACTGACTTTGTCAGGGGGTCGCCATGACGCCCACAGACTGGCAACTGCCCCCAACCATGGCCTGGGTTTTCCCCTCCCCCACCAACCTCACTCACCTGGGTAGTTGCTCTGCAGAATGAAGAGGGGCAGGTTTCAACATCCCCAAGTATCCCGCCCCCCACCCCCACCCCGCCCGCAATCTCTCCTGGAAGAAAGACCATTGGGTGAACTAGCGAATCTGTGCAGTCCTCAGAGAAGGAATGAATTCCTAGTCTCATGGCTGGGCTCAGTCCCTGTCTGAAAGCCACTGAGCCTCTTCTCATCAGCCCATTCAGCGAGCCCTTGCTATGTGCTAAACAAGTCTCAGGCTCATCTCATTCAAGCTGCACAGTGACCCTGAGAAGATGGGAACGATTATTATCATCCCCATTTTACAGATGAGGATACTGAGGTTTGGGGGGCCAAATAGCTGGCAAGGATCAGAGCATGCCGGTAGCCAAGTCTGGATTCTAGCCTAAGCCTGTCTGACTCCCCAACTTGAGGGCTTTGTCATGCTTCCCCCATTTTCTCAGCCACCTCTCTCCCCTTCCTCCAACTTCCAGGGACTCTTTTTTTTTTTCCGTTTCCATGGGAGGACATATGTCTGGAGGCAATTCCACTGGGGTAGGAGATACATGGGAACAGCCACAGAGCCTAGGACTTCTATCCAGAGCTGACAAGAGAAGGGAGGACATTTCAAATGACCAGGGCCCAGTCTGGGCTATTGTGGATTAATGCCTCTGAGGGGCTAGTGCCTCCCTGGGCAAGTGCATTTTTTTGGTCCAAGGGTTCAAATAGAGAGAAAGAAAGTTGAGAGGGGCCTTCCCAGAGGCCCAATAGGGAAAGGGTGCTTTCTCCCCACCATGGGCAAGGTCTGCTTCTAGAACCCCTGACAATAATTGCCAGAACCAGACCCTCCATGAGGGTCTGTCACATTCACCCACAGAGCCCTTGCTGAGAAGGCCTCAGGGCCCTCAGAGACCTGATTGTCTGTCCCCATAGATAAAATACCCACTTTCTAGTCTCTCTGAGCATGGATCCAGAGAGCCTTTCCTGCGACAGACCCTGCAACGAAACTGATAAACTGTAGATGATGACGTTTCTAGAAGGAGGCTCCTCCTGAAATATAAAGGGGCCTGGCTGTTACCATCTGCAAGCTGATGGGTTTTCCCACAAGGCAACCTTTCTGAGGACAGCATCTGAGGAGACCGTGGAAGGGCCTCAGTATAACCTCAGTGAACCTCAAACCGATAGTGAGAGGAAAGTGGTGACTAGAAAAAGGTAAAATGGTTGAACCCAGTTCCAGGCAGATGTGAGACAGGAGTAGCTTGAGGTACAACTTGGGGGCCAGAAGAAGTGGGAGGAGAGAAGCTAGGGCCTTCTTACCACATGTCTCCTTCCTCCACCCCAGCCTCCTTTAACCTCTCCAGCTAACCCCATCTGGTTTCCAGCTAGCTGTTGGAGGTATGACCTGTGAGTCTCTAGAGAGGTCAGAGGAAGGGTTTGACTATTGGCCAATAAATCCACCTTGGCCTAGACAGGTGTTCTGGGGACTCCGGGCAAACTGGAACGGTAGAGGTGCTTGGGGCCAGGCCAGTCTGGAGCCTGTCACCCCCACCAAAGAATGGGAAGCATTTCCCTCAGCGGACAGGCTGTGGGATCTCCTGAGGTTAGTCAATGGTCTCAGAAGTTTCCAGAATCCAAGAATGAGCCAATCCTAGTGGGTTCTGGGCCTCCTTGGAGTAACAGAAGAAAATGGTGGGGAGGGGTACCAACCCCTTCCACAAATACTCAAACCCCTGGAGGGTTGCCGGACTATACTCACATCAAAGAGAATGGGGGAGGGGCCCCTTTAATAAAAGTATTATATTTGCTGCAGGAGTGTTTGCTTTATTGAGTTAGGAGATTAACAGAGTGAAAATCTCAAATCCTCAAGGAATTTTCCCGGCAGTGCTTTGTTGGGAGTTATTAGTTTGGGGGATGTTTTGGGCCCTTGGAGAAGGCGTCACCCTTAGACGGATTTGAAGGACTTTTTGAGCTACTCAGAGCCTCAGCCCTCTGTGCATAATGGGGACTGTGTGTGTAGGCGTCATTTCTAATGTGATCAATGCTGGTAGGTCAGGCTGCTAATAAGATAGATTTTTATTAACTGTGTCTTTAGCTTTCCCGGAGGGGAATGCAGCTGGCTGCTGACACTGACCTTGCCCGAAGGGAGGGCTGGGTCAGGTGGGTGGAGGCAGGCAACTCCCTCACTGCCAGCAAATATTTTGCCCAGAATTTGCCTTCTCTCAAACCCAAGTCAGCCTGGGGACAAGGACAGGGAGGGAAGGAGAATGACTTGAGATGGAACCTGCCCAAATGTGGGGGGCCCTCCGGGATTACTTGAAAATATCCAGAGCTTAGAGCCTTCCAAGAGCTCTGAAATTTCAAATCCAATCTGCCTCTGATCTCAAGTCAGAAAAGACCAAAAGCATGAACTTGCCAGAAGGTTCTTGCAAGACACATACACTCTGAGAACATTCCTGCAATGATCAGGCAAGGTCAGAAAGAGGGGCAGAAGTGGGTCAGCTTAGTTAAGTTAAAACGTATCCGGACATTTTCAAAAGCCCTGAGCTGTTCTCAGTACATAGGTCAGGATGCTTTCTCGCTCCACATGTGATGGAGGGGAAAGCCTGAACTTTGTTGCCCTCCTCGCATCACTTACGCTTTTAGTCTGGGGCAGAACGCACCCCCAGCCCTCTGGTCTCACCATTCGCCTGGGGTCACCCTTTAGGGACCAGAGCTGACCACTCTTATATATAAGCAGAGTAGGAAGCTGAGACCTTTTAGCACAGAAGTCAACAAACCTCATTCATTCATTCAACTAATATTTACTAAGGGTTTCCTATCTGTAAGCCCTGGGCCAGGTGCTGGAGATACAAAAATAAACACAGCAGATGCCATTCCTGCTCTCAGTCTCATGAGGCACAGAAGTGAATCACTGGGCGTTTGGTGGTGGGGATGCTCTGAAGGTACAGTGTAGTGACACCTAACCAGACCAGAGGGGCCAAGGAAGAAGTCCAGGAGGAAGAGGTGTTCACACTAAGACCTGAGGATGGGTCAGAGCTAGCCAGGAGAGGGGACAGAAGAGGGAAGAGGCCCTGGAACAGGGAAAACAGACACAGAGGAAAAGGCGGAAATTCCCTCTGGCTGGACTGTAGAGTGGAAGGTCCTGTGCTGGCCACGCTGTGGAGTTTGAACTCGATGCTGAGGGCTTCAGAGGGCCAGTGAGGAGTTTGGGGGTAGGAGAGGGACAGGGCTGTCTGTTGGAGAAAGATCACTCTGGTTTCAATGTGGAGAATGTATAGAAGGAGGCAAGACTGGGCCAGGTATGAGGCTGGTCCAGGTGAGAGATGATGAGACCCTGAACCAAGATTGGCAGTGGGAATAGAGAGAGGGGTGGATTTGAGACATATTTTTTGAGCATATATATGTATATCTATATAGAGAGATTAAAACTATATATATGTGTGTGTATATATATATATATATATATATTTTAAATATACTTTATTTTTTATTCTTTTAAACTTTATTGGGGAACAGTGTTTTTCCCAGGACCCATCAGCTCCAAGTCAAGTTGTTGTCCTTCAATCTTAGTTGTGGAGAGCATAGCTCAGCTCCAAGTCCAGTTGCCATTTTCAATCTAGTTGCAGGGGGCGCAGCCCACCATCCCATGCGGGAGTCAAACCGGCAACCTTGTTGTTAAGAGCACGCGCTCCAACCAACTGAGCCACCTGGCCGCCCACCAGCGGCTCAGCGGCAACTCAGTTCAAGTTGTTGTCTTCAATCTAGTTGTGGAGGGTGAACTCACTGGCCTATGTGGGAATCGAACTGGCAACCCTGTTGCTCAGAGCTCGGGCTGTAACCAACTGAGCCACCCAGCTGGCCCCTACTTTATTTTTTAGAGCAGTTTTAGATTCACAGCAAAATTGAGCAGAAGATACA